AAAAACTTAAATACTAACTAATATTCTGTTCTCCATTTATACATAGTCTTTGAGATGTCATAACCCTTATGAAAATGTAAAAAGAAAAAAAAAGGTGTTAATTTATTCCGGATTTAAAAGAAATGTAAAAAGTTGGATGCTCAGTGGCGCCAGTACATTTCATCTGAAATCTATATCTTAAGATTACGTCAGCCTGAGGAAAACTCAAAATTAATATTCCAGGTAAGATTTAAATACAAATTAAAATAAGTTCAAATATGTTGAAAAAATTATTTTGAAAATGAAAAAAAAAGCACAAAAGAATGAAAAAGAACAAGACAAGCACAAAGAAGAATATCCAGTTCTCAATATATATTATTTATGATTTCATGATTTCAATATTTATGATTTGACAACTGCTGCCTCTGAAATTAATATAAAACACATAATTATATTAGAATGGTACAATAAAAATATAATATTATAATAGATATACGTAAGGATCATTATACAAATTGTGTCATAATTGAATAGTTCACTATATGGAATTTACTACTGTTTTACATACGTAAAGGGAAATAACTTTTATAACCTTAATCAGTAGCAATACTTTTCACAATTGTGAAGAGTTATCTTTCTTATATAACAAAATAATGAAATAATTCACCAGTTTATGGAACCAAGTCCATCTTACAACAGTAGGTCTTCAAATATAATAATAAGTATTATAAAAGAAATAAATTCCTAAAGATATATGCTATTTACAATTTCTCTAGATCTGTAACTATATGCCTGTCTTTGTCCAGAATTCGTTAGAATTATATAAATTGATGAAACTATAGGACACCTTTCTACAACTTTCTACATGAAATTCAAACTGAATAATGTTCACTCTGAGTGTAATACATCTACTACACATACATCTGATAATAAGACAATAATTTAGTGAATGATAACTTGTTTTCTGAAGTTGAAAGTTAAGCATATTCAATAAAAAAAATTGGTATCTTGGACCAATTTTGGACCACTAAAAAAATTAACTGAAAAAGATTATTTATCAGTAAGAAATTCAATAAAACAAAAGAATCAAATCTGTAAAAGATGATTTGACAACACAAGTTTTGAAAACTAAAACTTTTCCATGAAGATTTCTATTATTTTCTTTTTCTGGTTGTAAACATATTCATAGTACACAACTTTCACAAATATGAAAATGATGTTTGACCAACAAAACTAATATTTTTAACCCTAATTATGTGTTAACATAGAAACCACAGTAAGTTACAAAAAATAGCTTCAATTTCAACATTTTTCTAAATAATCTTTTAAATAATAACAAAAAAGTATACTGATATTACTTTCAACCAATTAAGATCTGACAGCTAATTATTAAAGATACGTATGTATTTAGTTTACAGAAAAGTTTAAAGCAAATCTAAATAGCAAGGCATCTGTTGTCATGGCAACACTAACATTATATAGTTTTACAGAAAGAAATTTGAGAATTATGACTTAAAGGTGCTTGGACACAGATTTGAAGTTAATGTTTACTCAAATTTTCTGTATAATTTCATCACTTATATGTTGCTATATAGCATTTCATACGAAAATTTGATAAAAATCTTATTTTATCTGGAAGTTATTGAAACTTTGAATTTCTGGACGCGTTTGATAAACACATCCTTGCACTTTCACAAATTTTAACTTTATCCTTATTACTTTAGAAAAGTAGCAATTTTGTTGTTTATTAATGAAAAATATTAAAACTATAATGCAGAAATTTCAGAGCAGAAATGTAGAAAGCAAAATCCTTTTAATACCAGTATTGTCAGTCTGTGCTCAGTGGTGTGTGCAGAGTTTAACAATTGAACACACCCGGTGAAACGTAAACATTAATAACAACAGAGCTCGTGCCCTGTTTACAAAAACAGTTTACGTTTCACGGGTGTATTCAATTTGTTAAACTCTGTACACAACTACACAACACTGAGCAGGGGCTGACAATACTTAAGTGAGTGGGTTTTACTTTCGCACATTTTTACTCTGAATTTTCTGGATTACAGATGTAATATTATTCATTAATACACAACAAAATTGCTACTTTTCCTAAGTATTAAGGATAAAGTTAAAAATCATGAAAGTGCAAGGATGTGTTAATCAAATGCCACCCGAAATTCGTAGTTTCAATAATTTCCAGATTAAATAAGTTTTTAATTTTATTTTCGTGTGAAATGCTATAGCAACATATAAGTTGTGATATTATACAGAAAATTTGAGAAAATATAAACTTCAAATCTGTGTCTATGCACCTTTAGTTTAAATCTATACATATAGAATAAAATTTTAACTTATTCATATAAAACCTGCAAAAAGCTGAGCAATACAATAGACATGATTCTTATACAAAACAGGCTTATCTATACATGTGGGTTTCAGATGTTGACAGACTACACATCATCCAGAAAGTTGCATCATGTACACTTAAACAAGAGGCCCAACGGTCTTAACGGTCATCTTAGTACAATACAACAATTTAGAGGATCCATAAACTGATAAATGAAGCCTTGTTGCCCAAAAGCAAGAAAAATAGTATGATTAGCATCAACAAAATAATTGGTCTAGTATCTATCTGTCCCCCATTTATCACTATTACCATGCAGACTATTAACAAATGCCTATTTTTTACCCTATATTATTAACTCTCACACTGGCCTCTCTTAGCCTTTGAAGAAGATATAAAAAGAGATGTTATTTTTGTCTCATTTTTATTCATTTATTATTTCCAAGTCTACCTTATCATTAAAACTATGAAAGTACTTTTCAGATTTTCAAGAATTAATGCAATTTTACTATACAATGAATAGAGCCCTGCCCTAACACCAGAAACCCTGACCCTGGGGCCATGAAATTCACAATTCTGGAAGAGGCACTCTTGCTCATCATATCTATGTACTTATAGTTTATTTAGTATCCAGGGAGTAGAGAAGAAGATTTTCAAAGAAATAATGCATTTTCACTATATAATCAATAGAGGCCCGCCCTAACACCAGCACCCATGACCCTGGGACCATGAAATTCACAATTTTGGAAGAGGCACTCTTGCTCTTCATAACTATGTACTTACTTAGTTTATTTAATACCCAGGAGCAGAGAAGAAGATTCTCAAAGAAATAAGGCACTTTCACTATTTGATCTATATATACCCACCCTAACACCAGAACCCCTGACCCTGGGGCCATGAATTTCACAATTTTGGTAGAGGCTCAATGCTTATTACAATCATGCCAACAGTTTGACTGCTTGATGTCCAGGAGTAAAGAAGAAGATTTTTAAAGATTGCATTAATTTTGGTGGTTTTAGCCCCACCCCTCAGGCCCCAGGGGGGCAGGGACCATGAAATTTAATTTTTTCCCCTTCACCCATATATGCTATATGCCAAATTTGGTTGAAATTGGTTAAGTGGTTTCAGAGAAGAAGCTAAAAATGTTCAAATGTTAACGCACAACGACGAACAAAAACAGATTGCAATAGGTCACCTGAGTGACTCAGGTGACCTAAAAAAGACAATTCTGCTAAAGATATATTCCTAGTACATGAGTCCAAAATTAATACTGTAGGCCTAAAATAAGATGCCCAAAACGAAAAAATGAAAATGTCTCTATATGTCTGTATAAATATATATAAATGTCGGACTCTGCCGAGAGCCGAAGCAGTGAGATGAAGATTTTGTGACCCGGGCTAAGTGAAATCCAGCCTGTAGACTCCTACATGGAAGCTGTGTCAGATGACCCAAACTCAAAACTATACAAAGTCCTTCACCAAGAGAAGACTGCTAAATTGTGGAATCAGGCATTTAAAGAACAATTAAAGAAGTTTCCAGACTGTGACAGTTCACTGGACTGGAACCAACATTAGGAGGAAAAACGAGGCCTGGCATGGATCCTTTTATCCGATGTAAGAAGTGCCACTACACCAGTCAATGAGAAAAGCTTTACGAAGAGGTGAGGAGATCTGGAAGGGGATGAAGAGCTGCACAGCTAAATGTGGCCATGGCTATCGGTCACTTGGGTACCAGCATTACTACAGAGGGTATGCATGGTATGCTTCTTGGTGGAAATATTGAACCAGCTTCAGCCACCCATGTGCAACAGACCTGCAACAAAGTGGGGAAATTATCATAGATGTGAATAAAACTAGTATGAAGAAAATCAATAGGGCAGAACATTCAAGAACTTAATGAACCAGTAGTCTACGTCGAGACTGTAGCCCTACTGTCTGGTTTTTACTTATAACAAAGGAAGAGAAAAAAGTAACTTGGACTTGAAACTTTGCATCAGCAATAAATGGAATAGTGATCCTTGATTTAGTCTCTTTTCATGGTAAGATTGCAATCAGACAACAACTGTAGAAAGAGTAGCCTTTTAAAAGAATTTTACAGAAATTTCGATTTTAGTTACCATGGCAACATCATTCATCAAAATAAGAAAAAAACGATAAAGACAATTATGTATCTAGTCTACTTGCATGCCATGTTATATCAAAATTGATATCAGACCAAACTGTAGGAGGTGTAGCATTTTGAAAGTATTTCACAGAAATTTTAATTTTGGTAACCATGGCAACTGAGTTTATATAAATCAAAAACCGATGTCTTAGTGTACTCTATTTGTGTGCCACAAATCAGACCAAAACTGTAGGAGGAGTAGAATTTTGAAAAAAAAATTTACAGACAGACGACGAATGACAGACACCTTACAATAGCATGATCTCTTCTGGTCTCTGACCAATAGAGCTAAAAATGTGGACTTCCTGATACCCCTATCAGAGGGGAAGGAGATGTTTGGTATAATAATGCCACCTTCAGTGCCACTGGAAAAACCAATTCCAAGCTGCCACCCAAGTGACTTATACTGTAAGTGAAAATGTTACTCAGAGGAAAAATGTTGAGGCAGTGTTCTGTGGGAATAAACTATGCAAGAAAGGCACACACCTGAGAAGGAAAGGCCCAGGACACGAAGACTGCACTGCAACCATTCCTCCGGAGACCACCATCGGAGATGAGAAGAGATTGGCCTCAAATTATGCATTGGTGAGTTAAAAATATTAAGTGATGACGGTCTACTAGTCATTTCCCATTTCACCAGTGATGGAGATAGTGCCAAGGCATCTGGTGCATCTGAAAAACAAGGACATGTCATTGAAAACCTTAAAGAACCTCAAAGAAAACAGACTGCTAAGGTTCCATTCAGCAGTCACGTGTTTCTGAGAAGAACCAATGCCATATTAAGAGAATCCATGAAGAGAAGATTTGCTTGGACCTGAAGCTTCAGTGAAGGACAGAGCATGAGAACTGCTACACAAACTACCCTGAAGAAGACTTACCTTTGATGAAACTGGCTATGTCTTCTGCTGTCTAAACGTAAACTGCTACCAGTTAAAGGGCAGTGATGAAAGTCCTGTCAACTTTATTCCTTTTTCTGTCATGGACTGAAAAGCAATAAGTGGAAATCTTCAGTGGTGCCTAGTAACTTTGAATTAAACATGACTGAGGAAGACAAATGTTTGTTAAAAGACTGTATAAATTTGACTTTAGGACTAAATAATCTTCAAGTTAATAGAATTAAGTATCATACTTGTACACAAAAGCTGAATCTGTGAATAGGGCATATTCATAATCAAATCCAAAATATATTACAAGTAGTGGAAATTTTGAAAGTAGAATACATAAAGTTGTGCACTCACTGAATAGGGGTCATGGAAATTCAATATTGGAACTTTGTGAATCTGTAGGGGAACCTGTTATAAAAGAATGTAGAGTGGTCCATCATCTAAAACAACAACAAAATAGGCAAAATGACTTTAAAATTAAACAAACACTGTTAAAATATAGACACTTACAGTAAACCACTGACATATCCAAAATTAACAAAAGGCCCATGGGCCACAACGCTCACCTGAGTAACTTTGGCCTTGCTGTTTTTCACCTGATTTCCCCCCTTGTAGTACATATCGTGGTCCCAACCTTAACCAGGGGCCATGATTCGAACAATTTAGTATCTACCCAGGATGCTGCCACTTAAGTTTCAGCCTTTCTGGCTCAGCGGTTCTTGAGAAAAAAGATTTTTAAAGATTTTTTCTACATATTTCAATGCAAAACTGATTCCCTGTTGTGGCCCAACCTACCCCGGGGGTCATGATTTCAACAATTTAGAATCTACACTACCCAAGAATGCTTCCATATAAGTTTCAGCTTTTCTAGCCCAGTGGTTCTTGAGAAGAAGATATTAAAAGATTTTTTTTACATATTTCAATGAAAAATTTGGATTCCCTTTTGTGGCCCCGCCCTACCCCAGGGGTCATGATTTGAACAATTTAGAATCTACACTACCCTAGGATGCTTCCACATAAGTTTCAGCTTTTTTGGCCCAGTGGTTCTTGAGAAGAAGAATTTTTAATGACCCCACCCAATTTTTGTCTTTTCTTGATTATCTCCCCTTTGAAGGGGGCTTGGCCCTTCCTTTGAACAATTAAAACTCCCCTTTACCTAAGGATGCTCTGTACCAAGTTTGGTTAAAATTGGCCCTGTGATTCTTGAGAAGAAGTTGAAAATGTGAAAAGTTTACAGCTGGACGGACGGACAGACAGACGGACAATGGGTGATCAGAAAGGTCACGTGAGCTAAAAAGGAAATTGTGTTAAAAAAAGCTGTGTATGTAATTTAAATGTATGAAAGCATTTATAAATACATAGCATCTATTCTGTGAATTGTTACATATTTAAATAAAATTGCTATGTTTTACTGCATCAATGGCCAGGATATGTAAATGACGTATAATTGTGTGTGTAAAATGTGACATTTTCTTACATGGGTGAGTCTGTACATGTAAATATGTTTTTTTTCAGTATTTATCTTAATTATTTTTAGAAATTATTTTCATTAATTATCTTGTTTTTCTTACCTGTCTGACGATTACAACAAAGGTTACAGAGGTGATTGGTAGAAATACAGGTATACAGGTGTCAAAACTCTGTTAATGATGTACGTAGTATGTACTACACAGCATCCCGCATTGTATATCCACCATTGTTGATCTTTAACAGGGGAGACTACTCCTGAAATCAGAAATATCATAGTCAAAATGAATGTCACCTGTTACTTTAATACATGTACATAAGCATACTTGAATCCACTCATAACAATTACTGGTATATATGCTGAATACCAATATGACTTACATAGCCTTACTGTATAATGTGAAATCTGCTCCCATATCTACATGTAGCCCCACCCTTCACCGAGCTTGAATCTGCAAGACTTTGGAATGTAGATTTCTCATCAAATACAAGGTGATCCAAAATATCTGATACCATTTTGAAGGTTGATAAAACTTCCACATGGCATACATGTATAATAAAATTTAATAAAATTTTTCAAAATTTAATACCTGCTTTGATATTTTCTATAGCATATGTCATGTACAATTTATATATTTTTTAAACCCACAATTTATGAAATAATGCAGTTATCTAAGCACACTTAATACATGAAGTCCCTTTTAAGCAAGTATGAGATAAAGTGAAGTCTCCTTTAAAGTTTGTGATCACATCACTGCACATGTCTGGAGTAACTTCTCACATTTCCCCGAGTATTACAAACTTGAAATTCTCATGGAAAGTTGGCTTTGTTCTTTAGATACCCCCACAGAAAGAGTCTAGTGAGTTTTAATGGAGAACTTCAACCCTTTGGTATACATTTTACTACATGATAAAAATGGTATCAGTTTTATGATGCCCTACAGTGCCTAATATCACATGTAGTGACATCAGTGTTTTCTAGTATTACTTGTCCATGAAAATGATAGCTGCAGCAGTTTAAAATGATGTATAAATGAAATATTACTATAATTGATGATAATTTTATTGAGGATCAAAGTAGTATCAGATATTTTGGACCACCCTGTATATTTCAGACCTCTTGCATTTTGTTTATTATTGGCACACTAGGATACATGAGTTCATTTAAGAAATGAGTTTTATTTTAATTTAAAATTCATCAGGACATGAACTATGATGTTTTATGCTGGCATTAGCCTTTCATGACAAATATACATGCATGAAGCATTGTAGTTTTACCTCATGAACTTCAAAGAATTCAAATTTATATTTACATAATTTTTCTGATGACTTGCCATAATCAAATTCTGCCAATCAACCTTGAAACAAAACAGTTTACAAAAGGCCTATACTTTCGATGTCAAGTCCACTATAATGTCAGAATGTCCCAATGGAAGAGTCTAGTGGTTCTTGAAATGGAGTCAAAAAGTTTACAGACGTACAGACACAAGGACATTTGCAAAAATATTATCAGAAATGCTCACTTGAGCTGTCAGCTCAGGTGAGCTTAAAAATGCAACAGAAAAAAACAATAATAATTATTTACATTTGCAAATATTTTTTTTATATGAACCTATTGAAGAGAAAATATGTTCAATTCTGTATGAACTTATTAGGGGGGTCAGAGGTCATGGCGTGACCGAATCACACAGCGAGATGATATCTTGTCTACATATTTCTGTTACCAGCTGGTTATGGTGACACTGGTTTCGGAACTTCTAAGCCGTTAAAGCAACGAAAAAGATAAAATTATTGAAACATATATTTTTTTTCGTTCAACAAATGATCATTAGATCTCTCTGCGGTCTGAAGAATGCTTTTAATTAGCCTAAAATCATGCTCACCTTTTTAACCTGAAATTCCTTTGAAGGTATGTAAACTGAAGATGATACCACCACTTTTGACTTCATATATAAAGAACTCATACAATAATAGTAAGATTATTCTCAGTAGGGATCATTGTTTTTTTCATAATGAACAGATATTTCCTGAACTGGACTGCTGAACATCAATGAAAGTGTAACAGAGACATGTATGAGCCTCTGCTGGGGATTGAACTCGGGGCCTCTGGCCTGCCAGTCCAGTGCTCTACCGATTGAGCTAAAGGGTTAACCCATTAGCTCAAGCTATTAGGAAGCCATGTATCTGACACTACCACACTGTCCCCTCCAGAGAATGAGATGTCCTCATCTCTTTTGGAGTGCCAACGCCTGTGGGGCGAAGTTCTGGGGGCATCACTTTCACCCGCCAGAGAACACCCGGGCCCCACATTGGGCGCCAAATGTAACAGAGACATGTATGTGCCTCTGCTGGGGATTGAACCTGGGGCCTCTGGCTTGCCAGTCCAGTGCTCTACCAATTGAGCTAAAGGGTTATCCCACTAGCTCAAGCTAGTAGGAAGCCGTGTATCTGACACTACCACATACGTATTCAGATGTTGGAGCGAGGTGAACTATCAAGACCAAACAGCTTCTAGGTCATTGCGCGTCACAACATAGCAAAACAGCGGGCCGTTTGTGTAATAAATGCAGTTCTATTCCGAATATTTGTCTCAAATGTGAATAAAAGTAATAAACAACAATGTTAAAAAGTTCACTGGGAAATGAACTTGGTTGATACGTGATCAAATCTTCTGAGAAGCCCTTCGGGCTTCACAGGATTTGATCATGTGACCAACCAAGTTCATTTCCCAGAGAACTTTTTAATATTGTTGTTTATTTCTTAATTATACAGTGCATAATAATGTACTCACATTGTCACTAGATCCAGTTGTTTCCAGTACCACTGATACAGGTTTCGATGGGTAATTGCTTCTTTCTCTCTGTAAAAGCATAAAAATTGATGGTGTTTGATCATGATCATAGGCTGTTATGGTACTGACATTAGGGTAATGCCAAAATGTTATAACAAACATCCATTTAACTTTGTGAAAATTTACAAAAATATTGGAGGAAATAAATTATATATGCATTTTTCTGATGGACAGAGGGAATGAAAATGCTATGAAATTAGAAGGTTTTACTTGTATTTACATGTATGTAGAATACGATACAGTATCGTTTCTGTACTTCTGTTCAGGACGCCCACGTGGTGCAGTGGTTAGAGCATTTGATCCAGAGTTGTGGAGTAAATCCTTATGTCGCGGGTTCAAATCCCAATATGATATGTGCAAACCAGTCCTTCAGATGAGAAGACCATAAAAACCAGGGTCCCATGTCGCAGTAGGTGCTGGCATGAAAAGATCCCTCACTGCTCAAAGATCATAAGTGCCCAGTACTGGTCTAAATTTGTAGCCCCCCATCATCAAGTGGTGGCATTTCAATATAATTAAAAAATTCCACCATGGACACTCATCTGAAATATGGCAAAGTGCTCGAACAATTCAAGTCCAAAAATATTTCTGAATCTCGGAAATATCCGTAGTGTACAAGCCTTGCAATGACTCCACAAGTATCCCCTACCCTGCAAGTACCCTGGATATTTCCATTCTCCTTAAAGAAGCAGGTAAATAAAGGCCTCTTTACACCCTTCCTACTTTGCACCTTAAAGCAGAATTCCCATTATTTTAGACTTTGTACATGTAGTTTTTTCAGACCCTCTCTTTTCCATCTCTTCCAACAAATAACCTCATTCCAATACCATATATATCCACAAGAATTTTTATGAAAAAAAGTCAAAACCTCTATTTTTAAACTGGCACTACTTGGCCATGGGTGATCAATGAAAATGGGGTAAAATTAGTAAACTGTTACCTGATAAAGACTCTGACCTGGATTGATTTTCATAAAACTTGGTACAAAATCTTCTACAGCCATTATACGACACATCATTGTGAAATCTCATTGCATTTGTCATCTGAACAGCAGAGTTATGGCCCTTTGAAGTGATGTGCAGGATCTCCTGATAACAGAGGATGAAATGAGCATCAGACACACAATGGACAATTTTGAAATGCTCACATATCACATATGCTGCAGTAAATTTTTCTTATCAATTATTTTTATTTATTGTATAAATATCCCCTCACTTAATTCTGATAACAACTTTGATCAATAATATAGATAAATACTCTTAAGATTTTTTTTGAAAAAATTACCCCCAAATATGGTGAAATTCTTTAAAAATTGTCATATATAAAATACTTAGCAATAGAAATTTACATAACAATAAATGTTTAAAAATTCTACATTATATTGGCTGTAAAAAAACAGTAAAAGGTAATAAAAATAGATTAATCCCTTTGTTGTGAGCAGATAAGCAAACATGACCACAGCAGCCAATATCAGGAAGTGGCACTTACAGGTCATGCTGGATTATCCCTGGTCACATTAAAAATGTCATGGATACATACAAGATGCCATCCTAAGGTTAACCAAACATTAAGCACTATAGATATGGGTGAGCTAAGAGAATTCAAGGCAACATTGCTTGAATCTGCAAGAATAAATATTACCCTACTCTTCAGCATGTTTAGGAAAAATAGGGCTCCATGGAACAAAGGAAGGCAACTCTGCGAGAGGAAACTCCAAAGGCAAGGAGGATTTCATCAAGGAAATTCCCATGGCTTCAAGACTAAACAAGAGGCCCATGGGCCACAACGCTCACCTGAGTCAATATGGCCCTGCTGTTCTTCGTCACCAGATTTCTTCTCCTATATTTCTCCTATATATTCATATATAAAGCTTTGATCGCCTGTTCTAGGCATACCCTACCCCCAGGTGCCATGTTTTGAATGAAATTGAATATAAACCTTCTGAGGATGCTGCTATATTCATATAACTAATCATGGTTTTGCTGTTCTTTAAAACAGAATTCTAAATATGTCTAACACCCTACCCTGGGGGGGGGGGGTTCAAGTAATGAACAAACTTGAATGTACACTACCTGAGGATGCTTCCATATCAATATGACTGATCATGGCTTTGTTGTTCTTGAGAATGAAGAAGATTTTTAAAGATATTTCCTGTATATGTTCTTTTGTAAAACTTTGATCCCCCATTATGGCCCCACCCTACCCCCGGGGGTCATGATTTGAAAATTTGAATCTACACTACTTGAAGATGATTCCATATCAATATGACTAATTGTGGCTTTGTTGTTCTTGAGAAGAAGATTTTTAAAGATTTTCCCTATATATTCCTATGTAAACATTTGATCCCCTACTGTGGCCCTACCTACCCCCAGGGGTCATGATTTGTACAAACTTGAATCTACACTACCTGAGGATGATTCCATATCAATATGACTAATTGTGGCTTTGTTTTTCTTGAGAAGAGGATTTTTAAAGATTTTCCGTATATATTCTTAAGTAAAAGTTTGATCCCCCGTTGCGGCCCCACCCTACCCCTGAGTTAATGATTTGAACAAACTTGAATCTACACAACCTGAGGATGATTCCATATCAATATGACTAATTGTGACTCTGTTGTTCTTGAGAAGAAGCTTTTTTTCTATATATTCCTATGTAAAACTTTGATTCCCCATTGTGGCCCCAACCTACCCCTGGGGGTCATGATCTGAATAAACTTGAATCTACACTACCTGAGGATGATTCAATATCAATATGACTAATTGTGGCCTTGTTGTTCTTGAGAAGAAGATTTTTAAAGATTTTCCCTATATATTCCTATGTAAAACTTTGATCCCCCATTGTGGCCCCACCCTACCCCCGGGGGTCATGATTTGAACAAATTTGATTCTACACTATGTAATGAAGGTTCCACATAAGTATAAACTTTTCTGGCTCAATGGTTCTTGAGAAGAAGATTTTTAAAAGATGACACCAAATTTTCACCAATTCTTAATTATCACCCCTTGGAAGAGGGCATGGCCCTTCATTTGAACAAACTTGAACCCCCCTTTACCCAAAGATGCTTTGTGGCAAGTTTGGTTGAAATTGGCCCAGTGGTTCTGGAGAAGAAGTCGAAAATGTGAAAAGTTTGCAGATGGACAGACAGACAGACGGACTACAGACAAAATGTGATCAGAAAAGCTCACTTGAGCTTTCAGCTCAGGTGAGCTAAAAATAGCAAATTCTTGTCACCTATAATTTGCCAGGAGAATTCAACAGATCATGCCCTCAGGTCACCAAAACAATTCTGAACAGCCAGTCCTACCAAACTCCTAACTTTGACAATGAAAGACGATCGTCCTGATTTCTGTGGCCAAGACTACCAAAAACAAATACCAAAGAGAAGCAAATATATAGGTAGGCAATGTATAGAGAACACAGAGAGGATGATGGAGGTAATTATTCCAACAATACAACTTCATCGGTAAATACCAGTTCTGAATCTAACATCATGCACTGTGCTGCACTCAACAAAAGTAGGAATTTCAGGGAAATACTCGCTGGCCAGTGTCAGTCCAATTCTCCTGAGTTTGCCTTATTCCAAGAAATCCATAAAGGCGGTCTTTGTTGCAAAACATCAGCATCAAACATGGCCCTGGCATATGCCCTTCAGGAAACTTCACTAGGGGCAGAGAAGGCTAAATAATTCCTGAGCTGCCTGGACATTCGCCTCACACTAAGGCCTCTCTCCATAAGCTCCTGTTCAAAATAAGCAAAAATATTTTTTTTACAAACCTAAACAAATAAGATATGCATCAAAAGATACAGAAAATGTAAGAGATCAACAAGACCCGAAGCCAACCAGAAGATGTCATGAAATCTTAACAGATGACCTTTATAACAGTAATCATGATTAATTGCAATAGCCCTTAACAGAATGCTAGTATACACTTATTTCACGACTATGAGGGGGACAGTCAAACTGTTGTCCTGAGGTAATGGGGAAGACCTGGGAAACTGTTGCCTGAGGACGAAGGCCGAAGGCAACAGTTTCCCAGGTCTTCCCCATTATGGAGGGACAACAGTCTGACTGTTTCCTGAGTTGTCAAGAAATAAGTGTTTTATTATCTAACCTACTATATAATTTCTTAAAGTAATGATACAGACACATTAACAAAAGTATGCATTATTTCTTAGTGTTATCATGCCCTAATAAATATTGATGTATACATGTATTGTTTAATAAAAAAACATAAGATGACTTGAAGGTTTAAATATAGCACGCTGAGTCGAACATTTTAAAAGGCAAGGATCTACAGAGAGTGAAAGGGGCCTACATTTTTCCAAAAATTACCCTCAGAAAAAGTGTTCTTGTCCTCTTCTTTCAAATGATATTAAATTGAATATATATTTATATGGGTATCAGGATTACTCTTCAAATCATAATCTCAAATTTATTGCCATGAAAATGCTTCAATTTATACATAATTCAATATTATAACTGTAAAGTACGGGAAATTAATCATGACGTCATATTGGATTAGTTCAGCCATGCAACAGTATACAGTTGTTGACTGGGGTAGAGGGAAACAGACAGTCTATCTGTTGGACCAGAGTGCAAGCTGTTGCCCAAGGCCACAGGCCCCAGGCAACAGCTTGCACTCCGGTCCAACAGATCAACTGTTTCCCAAGACTCCTGTCAACAACTGTTTTGTTATACTCCTACTAAATCAAATTCATAACTTAACAGAAAATAAAACTGTCCCGAAGAAGATGTAGCGATAAGTCCAGAGTCTCCAGATATATTCGCTGAGAATATTTTCAGATTTCTGGATTTCATCCTCTTTCGCCACAGCAAAACAAACATCTGCAATTTATATTTAACTTAACGACAAGTTTAAACTACTCTCAATCCTCAGATGATTACATTTAACTCATGGTTACCCGAATGAGGAAAAGATAACTCAATTTAGCGCCATTTGACGTCACCAGGCAACAGTCTTTTTTAACAGTCTATTTTTAATTAACAGTTCCTGGACCGACAGTCGGGGAAAACAGTCAAACTATTGGACTTTTTAAAGTAAGAAATTATACAGGGACTGTTTAGTAGGGGTATAACAATTCATTCTGTGACCAGGTAAACAGTTTTGACTGTTTCATGATGTGCAAAAACATTAAAATGAATCAGGAACCAGTTCAAAATGCCTAATTACAATTTATATAGTAGGTTAGGTAATAATAAAGCCTTTGCCTTGCCTGTTAAAACCAACACTGATAGAAAATACATATACATATAGTACATATACTTGCCTGTGCTCTGCAAAACAAACTGCTGGACAGGTGCATGGCTAAGGGGCAAGGGAATGGAAGTGGATTGTCCAGGTGGTCATCCTGAGTGTACCTCTAATCTACCAAGGGCAACTGTGACCATTTTCAGATATGAGATGGAGAAGGACACTCAGGCACACAGCTGGCCCTACAAGATGCATTAGTCTGGTATGTTACTAGAGACAATGATGACAAAAATGCCAAAGAAGTGGACAAAGCAATGCGAGATCTACATCCTCTATGGAAAGTAAAGCATCTAGCTGACCCCATAAAACTTGGGCAAAGTTCTGTGCCAGCAAGCAAGCAGTTTATAGGAATGCAATGTTCCACACCATTGCAATGTACCATACTAAGACAGAAGAAAGTCGCTACAAAGAGTATTCATCAATGATCTAATTAAAGTCAAGATGTGCTTTGATTGTCAAAGAAATGTTTACCAAGTTAGACCAAGGCCTACAGAAGATGAGGGATTTCTCAAATTACATGTCCAAGAACGATTTCGATGTTGATATCTACAATATTGACAATATCATGATGATATTGTCCATATCTATGATATTGACAATATTATGATGATATTGTAATGATATTAATCCTCAGTACTATGAAATTGGAAATACTGGATGCAGTATAAGACTTAGTGCTATATGGATATCCACGATATCCTGATAACGTATGGATATTGATCCAGATCTGTACAATTTATTCTCAAGTTGAGGTACACATGTATATCATAATTTAAG